CCCCAAAACCCCAAAACCCCAAAACCCCAAAACCCCTTAAAGCTATTATAAAATAGACTTTTGTACAAATTTATCCTACCCAGAATGGCAGATCCTGAAGAAGAAGTAAAATACAACCCCTCTGCACCCAGAGGGAGGCAGACCCGCAGTAGGACTACCCGCAGGGGCAAGAGGACTAAGTACACCAAGTTTTATGAGGATGAAGAATCTGATAGTGATGTGGCTATTCCAGAGGATTTTGTGCAGTATTTTGAAGTTTTCAAGGAGTTTATCAATGATTTTCAGAAGGAGTTGGGCCATGAGAATGAAGGCAGGAAGGGAACGAAGAAGAGAGTGGAGAAAGGTATGTTATTTATGTTTATGAATAATTTTTGTAATTTGAGATAATTTACTCAAAATAGCCAAAAGCAAAGAGAAGGAACAGAAAGAGGCCTTAGAGAAGGAGATTGAGTCGAAATTTGCGAATGATAACCAGCCTGAGTTACAACAGGTTGAGCAGAATGAACAGGATGTACAGGAACAGACTGAAAATGCCCAGCAGGAGAGTCATTTAGGAGTGAATAGTGCAATGGACCCAGGACAACAGATGAATGGACAAGAGTTGATATTACAGTTACTGGCGTCACAAGGCAATTTGGCAGGGCTGATACAAGGAGCAAGCGCTCAGAGAGGGCAAGGTTCGAATCAAAGTTTGGGCATGGAAAATGTTGCCCAGACAAGTGCTCAATCTTTGTTGTTGTTACAACAGATTATTCAGAATACTCCAGAAATTCATGTATTACATCAACAGGAACAATTGGCATTGTATCAGATACAGCAGCATATCAGAAATGCGCTTACTCAAAATCTGGGGCAAGAGATTGTTAGTCAGTTGGTAATAGAATATAAAAAGACACAAGATCATCATCAGCAAAATATCCAGGCTGCTATCCAAAGAAAATTAACAATGATATTATGTAGGAACAATCCAGGCTTGTTTGGAGGTCAAGCTCAAGAGCCTCCTCAACCACCTCCACAAGAAGAAAACTCTAATATTGAAGTCGATATTTTTAAATACAATAGAAGCAGTTATCATCTGGGTATTTCTTACTACATATACATGATGAAAAAGAAACAGTATGATAGAGAAAGACAACAACAATGAGAAATGGAGCAAAACGTATCTAAAACACCTCAAAATTTGATTTCCACTCAGCAACATCCCCATGCTGCTTCTACCTCCCCTCAGAACCAACCGTCTCATCAAGTCCAGTCTACACCTCCTCAGCCTACCCAAATCCATCAGGCGCCGCCAGAACCGACACAAATTCCTTCGCTTCCAGTACACCCTTCGCAGCTACCCACTCATCAGCAGCACCAGCAGCACCAGCAGCAACAACAGCATCAGCAGCAGCAGCAACAGCAACATCAGCCAGTCCAAGAGAACACCCAATCTGCAGTACAGAACATGTTCAACTACATGCAGATTTTAGCTGCTACAAACCCAGCTCTGCAGCATCAGATCCAGATGAGCCAGCTACAACAATTTGGCATGAACAATAATGCAGCGCAAATGCCCAATGGTAAGTTTTCTTGAAGAGTGCTTAGCTATTCCATATTGAACAGATATCTGGAAAATTATGGCTCTTTCGGATATTTATTTGGATAAACAGAGCCGCCTTATTTTTACTAGCTTAGTCCGCTTTTAGTTCGGTCATTTACTTTCCTTTGCATAGATTTAAATGAAAAACTATATTGCTCTCGATGGTTTTTAATTCAAAAAGAACTTGTTAGAGGTTTAATAAATTTCTTCCTACTTCATTCGAGTTATCTGAACCTTTCTTAGAAATTTCATTTTAGACCTCAGTCTTTCGTAAACACTGTTTTCTTCACTCTCAGATATAATTTCAAGCATCATATAGAGAGCTACTATTCGTAGCTCTCAAATTTGTAAGCTGTTTTCTAGCTTCTTTTATCAGATTCTCCTTAAAATGTTTTACTCAGATTTAAATTTTGCCACCCAGAATAGTAGAGATAGCTCGTTCATTCTTCTCAGGAAATTTTGTTAGTGTCTTTGCCAAACTTCTATCATTTCTATATAGGTCAGTTCCAGCAACAACAAATGCAACAGAATGTAGCAACGATAAGGAATAAAGATGAAAAGGATATTAATTCAAAGGTCGACGACCTGATGAAATCGTAATTATTTTGAGTTTGCCAACCGAATTTATCAATATCTTCCTCCCATCAGGACCTGGCAACAGGCCGAATTCCAATGGATTCAAATTCAGTGTTTTCAAATTGGTAATTTATTAAAGGGGTTTTGGGGTTTTGGGGTTTTGGGGTTTTGGGGTTTTGGGG